CTGTAGCAAAAAATCTAAATGGTCAACCCCCTACAAAATTATGATGAGGATATTGCCAAATGTGGTCCCCATTGTGCCTATAAAGATTGGAACCAACGGAATGTTGAGCAAAAAGCTACAGCCTGTGATGTTACAGCCATTTAACATTGAAGTCAATGGGCAAATAATTACTAGTCTGAGTCCTGATATGGCCGCAGGCTTGGTAGGTAGATATTTTCTCAGCCACTTATTTTCTGAAGTTTTGAATAGGAAGTGTTAGAAAAGGTAAGAATACTGCTTTTTTATTGCACAGCAGTGTTTTTTTTTTTGACTATTTGATATCAAAATAGCCATTATTGGGGGTATCTGTTGGCTGAGTGTCAAAACATGGTTAGGTCTAAATATTAAGGCCAACTCAACAGCAGACTTGGTCTAAGGTCCCGAGATGTAAACAGGGCTGACCCAAACCCTAACCCAAGACCCAGCCCTTACCTTAACCCACAATCTCGTCAACAAGCATGTGCCGTAGGCCTAAGCCAAAAGACCTAGTCCTGATCTCAGCCCTAACCCACAATCTTGTCAAAAAATCATGTGCCCACAACTCTATTTACATGTTGTGACCTTGAACCAAGTCTGCAGTTGGCCTTAATATTTAGACCTAACATGTTTTGACATCATACAATGAAATGTTAACATGTACACTCCAAAATTCTCACCTGTGTGTCTTTTGACCAAACCTGCAGTTGGTCTTAATATTTTGACCAAACCTGCAGTTGGTCTTAATATTTAGACCAAACCTTAAAACATGGTGTCTACCTTTGAGATTGGCTTAGACTTATGTGACGCTCAAGGTTTACTTTTTTACTCACTGTTAACTGGTTTCTTGTTGGAGGGCAAGTGACGGGATGTTCGCTAGAAATAAAGAGGTTTATTTCTATTTCCAGTTGAAACCATTATTTTTTCTTTCTTATTTTCTCACTGTTTTTTTAATGCATATTTATCCACAGCTTTCTATCATTTCAGGTGCCAGGGTAATGTTTCATAGAGTGGAATGATTGACCTCAACACAAGTATTAAAAAAAAAAGAAGCAAAACAAGTGAGATAAACATGCACTTCATACACTTTACGAAGTACATCCAACATGATCCCCACTTCTGCTCACTAACTGGCTGGAAATTTGGTACTGCACAGGCCTTTCTTCTCCCCTTGGCATATGTCAATGATCCGTTTCCCTGGATAGTATTCGCTTAAGAATTCTCATTCTCATCCAAATTTAACTTCCTGGACTGGCTTTAATAGAACGATGATGCATATCAATTTCACCCCTGATCTCTATGACACCCGTGGTGGAAGTGAAGGGAAAATCGTAATCAGTTTGGGTTCCAGCCGAGGACCTCTGTAAACTTTGCTTTTTGGTGATGACTTCATTTCCGAAGTTGGGGGTTGGATGGCTGAATGGTTAGCGTGCGCGCGCTGTATCATAAAGTCTGTCATTGAGTCGACTGGCGTGGTTTCGAATCCCCTGTTGTATGTGACAAGGAGTAGAGTCGCCTGTCCAACCTCGTGGGTTTTCTCCGGGTCCTCTGGTTTCCTCCCACTGCTAAAGACCCCTATGCGCAAGCGAATTATTGAAATAAAATTAAACCATGTTAGTCCCGAAATGACCTAGTTGTGTCGAGTGGACGTTAAACCCCATTTCTCTCTCTCTCTTTGAAAAGGACACCCTTGTGTTTATCATGGCCTCTCATATTGGAAGATAACATAAATGGCTTGTGTGTTGACAGTTGTGCATACCTCTTGGTCAGGAAAGTTGTAGGCACCATCGCCATTGTAAATGATTTGACAGGCCAGAGTGAACAGGGAGACTTATGATTGGTCAGCAATGTATCAGATTCCATACTGGGGGGTGGGGACGAAAAAACTTACATAATCAGATTATTTCAACTTACTTATCCTATGGAAATACAGCTATATAGGAGATATTTTAAAATTGATAGGCACTGCATGTTTCAACATCTTAGATTTGACCACAATTTAGCACTTGAAACTATGTTAACAGAGAAAAACTGTGTGGTTTTCGATGAAAGTGTTAAAAAGTCTAATATTGCATCATGATTACTGTTCTAAAGTATTTCCCCGCGAAATCCCCGCTTTCTATTTATAGTACTCATTATAATATTCAACACCACTACTCAGCCAATAGCAGCAGTTAAAAATAATAAACAAACCTGCCTTGTTGCTATGTCGGGGCGGTCGTGACCCGATGACGCCAATGTCGTGACCTGCTATCGCGACGTCTGATTGGTTGAACTTTGTCAATGTCGTCTGTAATCAAGCAAGGTGACGGCCGCCTTTAGTTTTCGACAACAGGCAGAAAATTATACAGTTATGAATGAAAACTGTAGTCAATTTTAAGAAAAATTGTGTTTTTTTAGTAAACAAACCTCCCTTGTTTCAATGGCGCTTTCGAAAGAGCAAACCGTGGCGAAATGTATGAACGGTTTGACAGCATGTAATTTGTCTGCATCGGCCAGTGTTCAACAATGGAATGATCTCGTGCTAGATTATTTCTGTGACAACGTTGAACAAGAACATTCCTCCTCAGACGAATGGGATGGCGATTTGGGGGGTACTTTAAATGATGACAGGCCTTGTTCTGAAAGTCACATCGGGTTTAGTGAGACCCAGTCTTGTGCCGATGAGGGCACCTGCTGCCCTGACAGTGGCATGCCATTTGTTGTGGATGAGACTAGTGACATCCTGACTAACATTTTGAATGAAACACTGGATGATGATAAGTTTATTGAACTTGAGAAAATAAAAAAAATTTCTTGTAAATGCAAACTGAGTGACCTGGAGTGTTGTAAATTATTTGACAGAGAATTTATTTATAACTTAAGTAATCTATTTATAATTACTCTCTAAGGGAGTGTTGCCATACCCTTTTCCTGTTTTCCTAATCTATTTTTTAAAAAATCAATACTGTACCTTCAGTTCTATTACTGATTGGTTGTAACTTAAAGTCGCTCATTCCTTTTGACATTCACATAGTGCACAGTTCAATCGCAAAATGCATTTCTGTTACTTTCTACAATGTACGTAATTGTGCTGGCAGTTTTGCACATACAAGGGTGTGTGTCTGTGGGTGGGGTGGGGGTGTGGGTGAGGGGTGGGGTGTGGGTGTGGGTTGACTGTTTAACGCATACTCTTTAATTTATAATTGTAAGATCTGTCATGGACTGGAGTCAAGCGACATGGTTTCGAACCCAAGTTTGTACGCGACAAGTAGGTTTTCTACGGATCTTCCCACTTATAAAGACCCCTTCGTGCTATGAATTATTGAATAAAGTTGTATCTTATGTTTTTCCAGAAATGACCTAGTTTGTGTCATGGACATTAACCCTTGTATCCAATGTGTCATTTTCAAACAAATGTAAAGATAGGTTGCCAGGCAACAAAACATTTGCCCACAGCAGCTAAATCGTCTGGGCGGTCGACAAGAGTTGTCGTACATTTATTCTTTTGTAGGTAATTAGGGGACATTTAATAGACAATTTCATACAGATGACATTATAATTTTCGTCGTTTGAGGGTTCACAAGGTTCTAAAAACTAAAACATGGAAATAATTTACAGAAATTGTTGAAATTCGACAGGCTTTTTTGTTTTACTAATTCAAATAATGCATATCAATTTCATGCAGATCGGATGATAACTTTTGTCGTTCGAACGTTCAACAGGTTCAACAAAGTAAAACAAGGGCCATAACTCTAGAAGTAATTGACAGAAATTGCTGACATTCAATAGGCTTCTTCATTTCACTAATTTAAATGATGCATATGAATTTCATACAGATTGGGTGATAACTTTTGTCATTCAAGCATTCACAAGACTCAACAATGTGAAACAAGGGCCATAACTCTAGATGTAATTAACAGAAATTTGCTAAAACTCAATAGGCTTGTTCGTTTTACTAATTTAAGTGATACCTATAAATTTCACAAAGATCGGATAATAACTTTTGTCGTTAAAGCATTCACAAGGTACAACAAAGTAAAACAAGGGCCATAACTCACAGTGTAATTAACGGAAATTGCTGAAATTCAATAGGCATCTTCGTTGAAATTATTTAAATGATGCATATAAATTTCAAACAGATCGGATGATAACTGTTGTCATTATAGCGTTCACAAGATTCAACAAAGTGAAACAAGGGCCATAACTCTAGATGTAATTAACGGAAATTGCTGAAATTCAATAAACTTCTTTGTTTTACTAATCTAAATGATGCATATAAATTTCATACAGATCGGATAATAACTTTTGTCGTTAGAGCATTCACAAGGTACAACAAAGTGAAACAAGGGCCATAACTCACGGCGTAATTAACGGAAATTGCTGAAATTCAATAGGCTTCTTTGTTTCACTAATTTAAATGATGCATATCAATTTCAAACAGATGTAATTAACGGAAATTGCTAAAATTGAATAGGCTTCTTTGTTTTACTAATTTAAATGATGCATATAAATTTCAATCAGATCGGTTGATAACTTTTGTCGTTAGAGCGTTCACAAGGTGCAACAAAGTGAAACAAGGGCCATAACTCCAGAAGAAATTAACGGAAGTTATTGAAATTAAATAGGCTTCTTCATCTCACTAATGCAAACAACATATATCAATTTCAAAACAATCTGATGATAAATGTAGTTTGTAGAGTGTTCACAAGAAATTGTGGACGACGGACAGACGGAAGGACCGACGGACGGACGGACGTGGGCGACGGCAATATACGACCACATTTCCATGTGGGCGTATCAAATCATATTTCATGGCTTATAGAGGATAATTAAATCAATTAGATGCTTTTGTTTCATGACATTTTCAAAAATTTGAACTCTTCTTTTTTAGTATTAGCCAGAACAAGCTTACAGCAATCTTAAATCACTACAAAGAACACGGAGAGACCCCTAGGCAAAAGAAATCTGGTGGACGACGTGCTTCAGATCCTCGCCTTTTGACACATGAAGATGTAACAAGAATCGTGTCCTTTATTGTAAATTTTTCTGAAGACCATGCTTTGGCTTTACCAGGTCGAGTACCCGGGTTTAAATGCTTCGACATTAAACTACTACCATCTATGTTTACAAAGTCAAGTGTTTTTCAGATGTACAGATCTGCTATGGAAACCACAGGTATGTGATTTTGCAATTATTATATTGCTGTTGCCCACACATTATCGGTTCGCCCTTACATTTTGTTTGTAGTACTCACACTGTAGGTTACAGTGTATCTTAAATCTTATCATTATGAAGAGGATCCTTATTGAATTTAAAGAGAGCGAAATGGTGTTTAATATCCACTCGACACAAACTAGGTCATATCGGGACTAACATATGGTTCAATTTTATTTCAATAATTTGCTTGCTCATAGGGGTCTTTAGCAGTGGGGGGACCCAGAGAAAACCCACAAGGTTGGACAGGCGACCCTACTTCTTGTCACGTACAACCTGGGAATCGAAACCACGTCAGTTGACACAATGACAGATCTTATGATACAGCGCGCACATGCTAACCATTCCCCCCCCCCCCCACTGAATTCATTGAAGATCCAATAATTGTAATCTTGAATTATAGTTCCTGACTTCACATAAGCTTATTAATTCTAATAATACAACCCATGCTCACTCTATAAATTACAATTCTTTTGAATTTAATTATGAAGATATTTTTACTTCCTACAGGTCGGTTCCAAATAGGCTAATGATGACAGACATACACCATACAGTGTGTTATGAGGGAAATTTTGCCCAAACAGGCCCACCCTTAAATCAAAGTCCAACTACTACTGGATATTTAACGTGCTTGTCAAAGTGTACATGGGACCTCAGTTTTTCGTCCCATTCGGATGACTATAAGTTGCCCCTTGCCAGGCCCTCGGTCCAGCACCACTGACAAGGAGGACCAACGCCGGAAAATCCTGATAAACTTTCTCCACCAACGCAGGGATCGAGCGCAGGACCTTTAGGTTAACGAGTCAATGTCGTACCCACTGAGCCGCCATGGCTCCCTAAAGATAGAAGGGATAAAGAGTGAATTATTTGGCTGAGAATCCAGTGTACATATCTTTATGTGTGAATGAAGATGAGATTTCTTTACACACCCACATGTAGTATGACCTTGGCTATCGAATTTGATGACTGTAGTTTCCCTGGCTGTCTTTCATATGTGACACAATTTTAAAGTTTTGTTATTTTTCCCACTCAAATGTCCCTTTTTTCATTTGAGGGATAAAGAGTGAATTATTTGGCTGAGAATCCAGTGTACATATCTTTATGTGTGAATGAAGATGAGATTTCTTTACACACCCACATGTAGTATGACCTTGGCTATCGAATTTGATGACTGTAGTTTCCCTGGCTGTCTTTCATATGTGACACAATTTTAAAGTTTTGTTATTTTTCCCACTCAAATGTCCCTTTTTTCATTTGAGGGATAAAGAGTGAATTATTTGGCTGAGAATCCAGTGTACATATCTTTATGTGTGAATGAAGATGAGATTTCTTTACACACCCACATGTAGTATGACCTTGGCTATCGAATTTGATGACTGTAGTTTCCCTGGCTGTCTTTCATATGTGACACAATTTTAAAGTTTTGTTATTTTTCCCACTCAAATGTCCCTTTTTTCAATTTCAGGACAACGTGCTGTAAAAATCCATTCATTCCGAAAGCTATGGCGAACACTTCTCCCGTACATAGTACAAACTCGTTCGATGACTGAACTATGTTGGATGTGCCAGAAGAATAACTCAGCTATCTACAAGAGTGCTAATATGAGCGATCAAGAGAAGAGCGATCGAATAAAGACTCAAGAGGAGCATTTAATGAAAGTTACACTGGAGTGTACCCTGTACAAGGAAATGGTCAATTCAGCCAAAGAAGTTTTAAAGGGATCGGGATTGAAACTGTCATCCAACCCCCCGTTGTCAAGAGACATGACCATGCATTATTCGTTTGATTATGCACAACAGGTGCACTAACCGTCTGACCCCATGCAGTCTGGACCCATGTATTTCTTAACACCCAGGAAGTGTGGTCTCTTTGGAGTCACTTGTGAGGGTCTGCCACAACAAGTTAACTACCTTGTAGATGAAGGTATGTGTATCAGTAAAGGATCCAATGCAGTTATCAGCTTTTTGGATAACTTCTTTTTAACCTATTGACTAGGTGAAAAACACTTGCAGTTGCACTGCGATAACTGCAGGGGCCAGATAAAAACATGATGATGCCGTGGTTCCTTATGTGGCGTGTAATTCATGGACTGCACGAGAGTATTTCACTGAACTTCTTGATAACTGGCCACATTAAGTTTGCACCAGACTGGTGCTTTGGTTTAATAAAGCAGCGCTACAGAAAATGCATGGTTTCCTGTCTTGATGATATTGTGGATGTTGTAAAGTCAAGTTCGCCAAGTGGTGTGAATGTTGCCCAGAAAGTTGGCAATGAAGATGGTCAAGTTTTTGTTGAACAGCGCGCGACTGGCATTCATTCCGAAAACCCTTTTTCAGAACACTTCCAGGAATAAAGAAATTCCATCATTTTAGGTGAGTTTCTATGATTTGATGTTCTGTCATTAAGAAAATGGGCTGCTTCCATGTCAATCAACTTTAATAGGTCGCAAGGTTGTGTGTGCCAAAGTACATTTTTTTAAAATCACTACCAGATAGATGTATGTACATGTATGTACGGGCTGCAAAAACATATCAATATAAAATCTTACTTAGTACTTACTAAGGTATCTACATCTTGCTCCTCTGATCAGTGAAGTGTTAAAATTCAAGGAGTTTATAAACTGGTGGCATTTGGTTCCATCAAAATAATTCCCACCTTTAATGGTATTCAGCATTCAAGTTAAAGGAGCTAAATCGCTAACATTTTGGACCTAGAAATTGACAAAAGTGGGTCGCAATGCATATAATACTGTAATATGAATGTATATAAACTGATTTACATTCAATGGTTTCCGTTTTTACTCCAATTTCAAATCAGTTATGTTCGGTGAAATAAGCCAGCAGTCTCAATCGAGTGCAAATTTCTAGCGTCTGGTTATTCCAGTCTACATACGCCGTTTGATATGGTGCAATGTGTCTAGCCTCGTCCCTCGAGTCTCTTGATACAACTGGGGCTGAAGCGCATTATGGTACACAAATGGTAAAATGTTTATTTTGTCTTAAATATTGGATATCAAAAGCCCATCTTTTTCCAGTAAGATAACAACATGAATGTTGATGTAATTTGACAAATAAATCGTGTTTTCAATGTTGAAGATTTTTGATGATATTTAGTTAGAGACTTAGCTCCTTTAAAACTTACTATGTTTGATCCTTTTATTACTATGTGCTTACCTTTTTCCTGAAACTCTGATCTTTTCAGGTTTGATGTTCAACTTCCTGGTTATGTAATTCGGAAATAATTTTCTGATTCAAAAGAAGAAATGGTGTGTCTTCTGAAGAAAACAAGCACATTTCCTCCACTCGAAAGACCTTCAGCTTGATATAACATGACAAGAATACCTGTTCAAGAAAAATCTTGGAATTCTGCACCCCCAGTACCATGGATATTACCTGCCTGAGTCCAACAGAAACCATGGAATTGGACACTGAATTTGATTCTGACGAGGCAGTTATAAATTAATCCAGATAATTTGGCGAAACCGATGAATCTGCATTTTTATACACCCTCATTTTCATATGGACGTATAATGTTGTCGCCCCTGTCTGTCCGGACACCCGTCTGTTCACAATTTGTTTGTGGACACTCTACAGCTTACAATTTTTATCCGATTTTGACAAAACTTGATATATAGGTATAATTCCTAGAGATCCCTGTATGTATTGGACCGTAACTTCATGAATTATGACCCCTGATGGTAAGAAAAATCAGGTTTTTAGCCTGTGGACGGACACTCTAGTGGTCACAATTTTTATTTGATTTTGACAAAACTTAAAATTTATGTTTACAACCCAAATATCTTGGTCCCTTTCAATAATCGTACATATCTGACGATTATGGTCCATGATTTTACGAAAAATCATGTTTTTAACTTGTGGTCCCTGTCGAGGTCACAATTTTTATCTGATTTTAAAAACCGTTCACCATAAAGTCCTAGACTATGAGTCCTGATTGTTCGAAAAATCATGTTTTTACCTTGTGAACCCTCTAGATGCTATACAGTGTGCAATAGGGAAAATTTTGCCAAGACAGCGGCACTGCAAAATGCAAAATGTGGGCATATCTTGCATGGCAACCGCTTGCTTTCAATTTTGATCACTTGACACTGTACTTACATTTAAAAAATGTTTACTGAATATTCCAGAGAAATTCACATACTAATTTAATTTGGTTATCACATGTTTATTAATTTAATTTGACACCTGGTCCTCTCAAAGGGGTATGTCACATATTCATTTTATAATTTTATTTGACACCTTCTCCTCTCGAAGGGGTATGTCACATGTTTGTTAATTTACCCCTTTGAGAGGACCAGGTGTCAAATTAGATTAATAAACATGTGACATACCCCTATGGGAGGACCAGGTGTCAAAATTATAAAATGAATGTGTGACATACCCCTTTGCGAGAACCAGGTGTCAAATTAAATTAATAAACATGTGAAATACCCCTTGGAGAGGACCAGGTGTCAAATTAAATTAATAAACATGTGACATACCACTTTGAGAGGACCAGGTGTCAAAATTATATAAAATTAGAATTAAAAAATCCCCGCTCAACAGAAAACCACAACAGACTTGTAGAAGTAGAGGATCGTTTAATAAATCAACGTTTCGGGTGTGGTACCCTTTATCAAGATTGAAATTATAATGATCCTGTGACGCCTTATATATAATAAAGGTGATGACGTCACAGGATTTTAAAATTTATTATATGTACAATGCAGGATCTTTAAAAATAGGATTGTTAAAAAGAAGGATTGTTTAATTTAACTATGTACAAATGTAATATAAAATAGTAATTAAAAGATTATAAATAATTATTAAGATAATAAATAAATTATTATTTGAAAGTATGGTTGAAATTTTTACTGTTTAATTTAAAATGAAAAATTGTTAATGATTTCTAGTATGGCTGTGGCAGCGGCTCTTTCTTCTTCCTCATTTGGTTTTATGTTGGTGGGATTCGTTGATGGGCTCGACAGGCAGGGCTCTATAAAAGTTGAATGTGCCTGTGCACACACTTGAAAATGTGCCTGCAGGGTCATAATGAAACACAGGGATGTAGCCAGGATTTGGTGAGTGGTGTTAAAAATATATTTGGGGAGCGGAGCGAGTCCAAAAAATTTTTGGGAGGGGGGCGTGGTTTTTTATGAAAATTAAACCCTTCTTGGTGTATTTTCAGAGCATCTGCTGCCTTTTATATTTGGTTCAGTGCAAATCAAATTTCCATTTATATATTCAAATTTTACCAAATTCACTTAATTTTCATCAATGATACAGGGATCTAAAAACTTTTTGACACCACCCGACCGAGCATAAAATTGTCCCGCCCCACTCTGTTTCTCTGGATAGATAAGTTGAGGACCTTTCGGTATTTGTTGGTTTTTTTTGTGTTTTTTTTTTTCAAATATTACTTTATTACTTTGAGATTAAAAATTATTAAAACGGTGTTTGTGTTTTATAAGTACAACGAATTATGACAACAGGTAGATATTGATAATTAAAACATGTATTATTTGACTTGTTTGTAAAGTTGTTGTACGTGTCTCACGAATATTATTATTATTACGGTGGAATGAGAATCAGGTCAGGCAGAAACTGAGAAAGCTCTCATCGTCCTCCTAGTCCTACTCTCGGGCCGTAGCAAATCCACGGTCAACACAGGTAAGAAATAAAATAAGATCATCGTGAAAATTTGCAGGCACGTGTTGGACAATTACAACATTCAAACCTTTAACATTGGAGTGCCGTAAATTGGTCTGGGTGACCTATTTACGGCAAATAAACAAATATAAAGACCGTAGAATAATTGTAAAATGAATAGACCTAGGCCTACACATCTTCTAAGTATAAATAAACAAAATACCAATACATCTTTCTTTAAACTAATTTGGGATGATAGGGTCTACTACGGCACACAAAAATAAATTATGCCATGACAGACATGGTTTGCGTACGTCGGCTTTTACCATGGCTTTGCCGTTTAATTGCTGTGTTAAATTTCGAGCGCCGAGTTTGTCACTTTGTGTACAGAGAAGGACGAAGGGGTTTAAATACGACTGGGTCTTTTTCGATTTTTTCTTTGTGCTGGGCGGCAAAAAATAGTGTCGGGCGCGGGCGCCGGCCGGCGTGGCTACATCTTTAAAAATGTGCCTGCAAAAAAAAAAAATCAAGCCAATGTGCCTGCGCACGCCGTGCGCATGTGCGCGGAAATATCGATGCCTGTTGACAGGGCTGGAGGATCTTCTTCTACTGGTTCTGTGATAAGTTGCTTATTTCTGACCTTTAGTATATGTTTGAAGCCGTTAATATAAACGTATTTCGGCCGGGACTCGAAAAGCCGGATCCAGTCTGTTGGAGGCCGGACTTCTATGGCTTCGTCAGTGATGTTTTTAGGGTGAATTGTATTTGCTGCTACTTCTATATCTGTATTAGTATCATTCTTAGTGGTGGTTGTATTGGTGGCGAAAATCTGTTGTTTAGCGGCAGACTTCTTGTAAATTATTCCATTCATTCTTGGCTTGCGTTTTGTTTGTACTTTGTGAACGTTTCTTATATGGCGTTTACCATTATTGACGTTTAAAAATTCCTTATTGCAGAATGGACATTCAAACATCTTCTTGCTTGGTTAGTTTTGTTCATTCAAACCTCCAGGCGCTTGGGTTGCTAGGAGGTCAATAATGGATTCTTCGTGACGTAATCTGACGTTGGTGTTACGTGACGTTTTTGTGACAATTTGTACCCGGAATTGGTGTCCCGTATTGTTAAAATGTTTTTCTACAGGGGTGTCATTGAACGTTTTAATATCGTTGTTATGTCCGTATAAACGGACCCTTAGAGAGTTGCCGGATTGGCCTACGTATTGTATTCTACAGTTTTTGCAGGTAATTAGATAAATGATGAATTTAGTGTTGCAATCAAGGTGATTATTGATTCTGTAAATTTTGCCGTTATATCTGGATATTACTTCGGTTGATTCTAATAAAAACTTGCAGTAGATGCAATTCCTCTTACATCTGTAGCAGCCGTGAGGTTTGATATTGTCTTTG